TATGAGGCTAGATCTTGTCTCTCTAGTGGGCAGGTCCACGTCTGGTGGTGTGTTTTGGGGTGGTGTGTTTTGCTAGTTGTTTGGCATAGGTTGTCCAGCAGTGTAGCTTGCTGGTCGTTGAGTGAAGCTGGTCTCTGGGAGATTTTCGCCGTTTGATATTATGTGGAGCTGGGAGGTCTCTTTTTGACCAGTGTCCTGAAGTTGGCTCTCCCACTGCAGAGGCCGAGTCCTGACTCCTGGCTGGAGCAGCAAGAGCCTTTCATCCACACGGCTCAGAATAAAAGGGAGAGAAAGTAGAGAGAATTAGTATAAGTAGGAGGAAATAGGAAAGAAAGAAAGAAAGAGAGGAGGGAAGGAAGGAAGGAGGGAAGGAAGAAAGAAAGAAAGAAGAAAAGAAGAAAAGAAAGGAAGGGAAGGAAGGAAGGAAGGAAGGAAGGAAGGAGGGAAGGAAGGAAGGAGGGAAGGAAAAAAGAAAGAAAAGAAAGAAAGAAGAAAAGAAGGCAAGAAGGAAAGAAAGGAGGGAGCGAGGGAGGGAGGGAGGAAGGAAGGAAGGAGGGAAGGAAGGAAAAAAGAAAGAAAGAAGATACAGTAAAATAAAATAAAGTATAAAGTTATTGAATTAAAAAATAATTATTTAGAGAAAAAAAAAAGGGACGGATAGAACCTTAGGACAAATGGTGGAAGCAAAGTTATAGAGACAAAATCTTACATAGAAGCATACACATATACCCTCACAAAAAGAGGTAAAGTGGAAAAAATCATAAAACTTGCTCTCCAAGTCCACCTCCTCAATTTGGGACGATTCGTTGTCTCAAAAAGGGAAGGAAGGAAGGAAAGATAGAAAGAAGGTAAAGTATAATAGAGTTCTTTAAATTAAAATTAATTATTAAGAAAAAAATTAAAAAAAAAAAAACAATGGTCGGATAGAACGCTGGGACAAATGGTGGAAGCAAACCTATACAGACAAGATCTCACACAGAAGCATACACATACACATTCACAAAAAGAGGAAAAGGGGAAAAAATCATAGATCTTGCTCTAGAAGTCCGCCTCCTCAATTTGGGATGATTCGCTGTCTATTCATGTATTCCACAGAGGCAGGGTACATCAAATTGATTGTGTAGCTTTAATCCGCTGTTTCTGAGGCTGCTGGGAGAGATTTCCCTTTTTCTTCTTTGTTCTCACAGCTCACAGGGGCTCAGCTTTCGACTTGGCCCTGCCTCGGCGTGTAGGTCGCTGGAGGGC